GATTGAAAATTGATGCAAGATTGTTAGCCCTCAGGTGAGGGAGTAGTGGGAGCTTTGGAGTGGCAGCCGTTATCCTTCCAGCCCAAACACAGAATTAGGGACCAAACTCTAGATTAGCAATGTTCTTTATAACACTCGAAAGAGGGTAAAGAATATGATTGCTTCTATATGACTATGTATATATGTATATATATATATTGAAATAAAATGATTTCAATTTCTTCATAATACATGTACTCATTGTAAATGGGAAGGATGCTTTCTTAAATTTAAACTTTCCTTCAAAACAAAAACTTCATTTAGTTTTCGTAATTTTACTTTTGAAAGATTGTTCTTAATTAGTTAACTTTACTTTTTCAACTGCATTTTACATAGCATTCACCTTAGTAGTTATTTTTCAAACTTCACACTTTACTTTTGTTTTTGATTTTTAAATTATAAAATAACTTCAAAAGCTTACTTAAATGATTTTTCAACTTCCATGTGGGATCAATATTTATGACTCCATTAGAACCCTTTATTACTTGAGCAATACGTATATTTGCGTTGATTTAAACAGGGATTTGACAGTTTTAAAAGAGTTTTAAAAGATAAACTATTTTCATAAAAGGTATTTTTGTTGGGATTATATTACATATTTATTATATATATACCGTGTGTAATTTTGTAATATTGAAAAATATTTACAAAATTTACACACTAAATCTACCTGTCATCAGTTGAGAGTTGGTTAGAGTAAAAAATTAACTTGGACTCATTTTTTAAAGAAAGTACAAAGAGATTAATCGTCTAAATATTTTGGTTAATCTGAGCTATTTAGGAAGATATGATCAATAAAAGTGAGCTCAAACCCTTAAAAGAGATAAATTGATGAATTTTGAGTTAAAAATATAATTGATTTTATTGGTCTAAATTGTGTATTTTTAAATTTAAAACAACTTTAGTTGAAATTTTAAGTGGATTTGAAGTTGTTTTGAGGTAAATAGGGTGAAATTATCATTTTATTATCAAAATTATTATTTTTCTCTCTTCTACTAATTATCGAATTAAAGAGTCTCCAAACGGAGTCGGATTTAAGTGCAGAGGGACTCATTTGAATTTTTTAGATGATACGTACATAATGGTAAAGTATGTTTCAAAAAATAAGGACTTGTTGAAAATTATTACGTGGGATCATTTTTTATGCAAAAAAATCCTATGCGCACAATTTTACATAAAAGTGTGTCTTATGACCACCAAATTGGTTTACATTATTTTTATATGTGATTTCATGCAATTCAAATAATATAATTTGGATCACTGGATTGAATTGTGGAAGAAAATAATAATTTTAGGTTTTACGATGATAATCATCATGCATGAAATTTTGACTTGAACGGTATTACATAAAAAAAATTTACAACAATCGTCAAACTTGTTTTCATAATATATATATGTGATAATAAGCCTCATGCAACTTTCAAAATAAATACTTGAGTTCCACAATCATCTTGGAAGAGAAAATAACAATTTCAGGGTTTCAAAGATTAATGTTGTTTTTAGGAATATCTTTGACTATGGTTAAAATTGTTCCTATTTGAAGATTATTTTGATTAATTTTGATTTTCATTTAGTTTAAAATTAAATTTTCTTAAGTTAGGTTTTGCTCAAGACCAACTCAATTGAAGTCTAGTTAAGCTTATGCCAAGAAAACAAGATTTACCAAAAATGATATCAACACTGTATATTTAAAAATTTGTATTATTTGATTTAAATATATGCTTGTTTAATAGCTACATATTTATCTTAATAATTTAAATAAATTTCTCATAAATTTTCAAAATTATCTTATACTGCAAAAAATTGCCTAACATTCTCATAATATTTTGAGAAACATATTTATCTTAATAATATAAAAAAATTTCTCATAAATTTTCAAAATTACCTTATAGTATTAAAGTTTTTTAGCTTTCTTATAATAGTTTGAGAAACTTGTTACCTCATATGAAGTGGATGATGATTATTTATAAAGTTCACTTGATGCTCATTGAAGTATAAACTATTTTGTTATTTATAAGAATTGTCCTCTAAAAATTTACAAAATTATAAAAAAAATAATTAATAACATTTTAAATTGACTCCATTGAGAGCACATCAATAACTTTATAACCCATTAAAATATAGGTTATAAGTTATAATCAGTTGATGTAGATATTAGTTGTTACTGATTATTTAAATATACCTTAGCCTTTTTATACAAAGCCAAAAACTATGATAAAGTCCTAAAGAATTATTGATAGATTCATTGCTCCTTTCATGCTCCTAAAACTACTCATTTAAATTTTCGAAGGAGCAATAATCAATCACCAAGTGTTCTCAATATGCAGTTTCCAACTAAGGGTCACCACTGTGAGTGTATAATGCCCATAATTCACTGCCTTGAATTGCAAACGACACTGTAGTTATATAATGCAAAGAGAAGACACCAAACTACAAGGTTGTGTTATACCTTGAACTCACATGCATTTGTTTATGCTAAGCCTTAAACTTAAGACCTTTTGATTAGAGATAAAGCTCTCAATCAATAGTCCAAGTGTACTGCAATAACTCTTACATAGATTAATCCAGTAAATTGATTTAGTAGACCTTAGCATATTTAAGTTTGATCTGATTATTTAATGTTGACTCAAGATTTGATCTGTTGGAATTATTAATCCTCAATGTTGAGGCTTATAATGAACTTGTAGCTTGAGTTAATTCTCAAACTTTTGAAGTCATTCTTAATTTGAAAAATTTTAAGAGGTAATAACCTAATATTGCAAATAGCTAATTGTTGTTCTCAATACACATTCACATTTCTCAACTCTCATGTTACATTTATATAGTTACCATATTCTTATAACATGTTTGTTCATATAAATCAGATATAAGCACGCCAATATTATATTATATTTCTCATATTAAATGGAATTTTTACTCTCACAATTAATGCCCCTTTAATAAGGTATGATTAAACAATTCTATACATAAGAAGAAATGATACAACAACATGATGGTCAAAATATACCCACAACTCTCCATGTGTTCACATATGAGAGCAAAGTTAAGAAAAACTAAGAAAACCCTTCATACTAAATTACTTAATTAACAAAGGATCTATGATGAATAAAAAGAAAATTAATAAAGAACGTTAATATATTCAACATAATATTAGTAATTCTAGCTTATTTTCTTATTTTAATTATTGGAGTCTCAAAATTATCTCACTAGCTTCAGGATGTGTTTAGTTAAATTCAACTTTACTCTATTTGTTGACTTTTTTTCTCAATGAAATGCAATATCCTAGAAGTCTTCTTTTACATAAACGTCAATGCATAAATAACTCTCATACATGTTAAAGATGACACTATCATAAATGACATGTTATTGATGTTCTCTCGAACGTGGGCTCTTAAAATGGGAAATGGCTGAAGATCACAGTATCATAGATGACATGTTATTGATTTTTTGTCGAACGTGTGCTCTTAAAATGGGAAATGTGACTTCATGCTTGATGTTGCAAAATGGTATTGTAGCCCTAGTGAAAAGTAAGATCCGAAGAACATAATGATTTGGTCGACATGAGACTATCAATTATCAAATTTGGCAAGCCAAGGAATTCCAAGCTTTCTAGTGACTATTGATTGGCCAACTCTATATAAATCAATAGTGATTCTAAACAACAATGACCTGACTTGATTATCTCTTGCTTAATGCCACCATGTGTATAATCCTAAATAAGTGTTAGAAAATAGACATTATAGATTTATTCTAATTTATAAGTAAAAGATTGTCATGATCAACTATGTATTCTCTGCATAGATCATGTCTTTGCAAATCTTAATGAAGCATGAAACCTTATTATAGTGATAAATTTCATGTAAAGAGAAAAAGCAAGTGATACTCTGATTAAAAATATGGATATAATGTCTTAACCCAACTTTTATTAAATTCATATTCCTTGTACAAAATTATTATTCAAAATGATATGTAAATTAAAGCTTCCTAATGTAATTATCACAGTTTTATGTTAATTAACCCATGGATTAGCGTTTCCAAGTATTAAAGTTTGCCCAAAGTTTATAATCATAATAATAACAATAACCCACATAACAAGATTTATCATGGACTTTGCTACAAATTACACATTTTAGTTAATAAATAAATTCAATAAGCAAATAATTTAATAATTAAAAGTGATGTGATCACTTGACAATAATTAGTTGATCGCCAGTAATTTTGATTGAAAGAACGGTAATACAACCTTTCTTCCTTTAAGGAAAAAAAATTTACTTAAAACAAATTAATAATGCAATGCAATGAAATTTAATTAATTTAATTCAAATAAGAGCTCGTTTGGTTTTATTTTTCATTTTTATATTTATGTTAAAAAATATATTTTTCGAGTATATTGTAAACAATTTTCAATTTTCTTAAGACAGATGGAATTACTCATAAACATAATCAAAATAAATTTTGGTTATTTTTAATTAATTTAAAAAAATTATCATTGTAATTAGCTGCCATTATCAACCACCATTACTGCTACCTTTGATCCCATCCACAATCTCCGATGCTAGCAACCAACCTTGGCTGCTGCCATCTTTGACCACCAATGCCTTCGCCTTCAAACACCACCACCATCATCATATAAGCAAATAAAAACTTACTTTAAAGGTACTTGGAACATTTAATTTCAAGTTCAAACAAATAAATAAACAAATAAATAAATATGCATTAAACTTTACTTTTTACACTTGTACATTTGTACATTTATATGACCTAAATATTTCATATCACATCATAAATACCACTACTTCGACTTTTACAACGTGAAATGCATATTTCATGCATAGAAGAGATGACATATATATATAAATTTAGTGTTAAATATGTAAATAATTTCTTGATCAAGCAATTTGGAGAACATCAAAAGTTTGACAAGTAAAGCATGAATTCCAGCACTAGCAAAATGATCAAACATAAACGGATTTAAATTTTGTATAGGAAAGGATAAATTCACGTCTGTAATCTTACTACAAATAGCCAACAATCCTACTAATGTCAAATACAGCCCTGTTAAGCTTTCCTTGGCTTACAACGGAGCCACTCCAGGTTCTAATGATCAAAGTTCAGACTACTTACGAAAAGTTTAGAAACTTGAAAATAAATCCACAGGCTACTTGGTGCCATAAGCAGCATTTAGCTCTAGTTTACATATCTCACACCTACACTTTTTATATTTACACACATAGCACTCAATTTTTTCATATCACATCAAAAATAGCACCATTATCATTTTTTTTAAAGCGAGACGAACCTTTTCATGCTTAAATTTAAAGCGCCAAAAGGCTATATATGTAAATATGAAAGTTTATATATGAGATATGTAAAAGCATCTTTTGCTACAAATTCTCATCCTCCATAGCGGCTCTTTAGTGCTTCTGGAGGTATCTCTTGCATGATACCTGACCCGGTTGAGGACAAATATTCACGGATAGTTGTCTTGCGATCGCTGAGAAATGTGTGATCTAAGAAATTATCATAGGCTGCTTCTCCAAGATTTTTGGCTGCCAGGACACTGAAGATGAGCGTTAAATCATTGCATGCCAATTTGTTTTAATACAATTTGATACGAGTAATGAAATACAGCTCCATAAAAGTCCCAAAACTTGGGGCTGCTTGAGATCACTTTTTTTTATCTGTTTTGTTTATGTTTTAATTGGAAATAAAATATGTTTAGTGGTGGTGGAGGTTTTTAAAAGAGAATTTTGCATACATACCACATAATTCTTATAAATTTATGTCTAACACCTAAAATTTGATAGTTTACACTTATATCAGATGTCACAAATCTATACAGTGAAAGGTGTATTTCACTTTTTAAAAAGTTAGTAATGGTGGTATTCTTAATGTGATGTTAAAGGTTTGTGTGTTATGCATGCAAATATGAAAGTTTCGAGTGTTTGTTGCGTAAATACACAAGAATTGTGTGGTATGTACGTAAATGCCCCCATTTTAAAAAATTCTAAAATTTATTTTAAGTGTTTTTCAAAACAGGTTGATTTATTTCTAGACAAAAGAAATATAAAATACATAAAAATTACACCATACAAACATATTTTTAAAAATAAAGTAAAAAATAGAAAATAAAATAAGATTGATCTCCAACAAACTCTAACTTAGTAATGTGCGCTATAAACATCCTCAGATGAAAGCAGTCATAAAATTTCATATCAAAGCTATGATGCCGGTCCATTTTGATTCCATCTTAATTCTAGGAAAATGAACAACCATTTTTATATGCCATCAATTTCTAAGCCATTTCCTCGGAACAAAACTGTTAAAAATGAACTGAAATACAAGCATTTCATGCATCAAAAAAATGCAATAATTCTGGGGGTAAAGCACACGGGATTAGGAATTTTGGAAATTTTTATTTGATTAGAAACACCATAACACGACTTGCAAGGCACAATAACTTTCTGATATATCACGCCAGAGAAGCTTATAAAAAATATCAAGCTCACAAAGAATGGGTATAGAAAACATTTACTGAACTCTTTAAATTCAACTTGAGATAGAGCATGTTTAGTTTTATTATAGAGCTTTATTCTGTGCACTTCAATCCAAGATAAAATCATGCAATAGAATAAAAAATAATCCATCATTAAATCCTATATGACAAGGAAGAATAAGGATAACACAATAATTCATAGATAGTTGTAGGCAGATCCAAATTCCAAACTAGAATTATGTGCTAGCAAGGAAAAAAACAGTCAGAAATTTCTTTCCCTTCTGAGCTCTATAACAATCTTTGATTTGTTTCACCCTTTCTACATTCAAAGCTTCAGTTGGAAGAGGATAGATAAAGAAGAAAAAAAGATAAGATAGAATAGAGTGGTGGATATCATGAATGATAGAAAACAGAGGTTTTCAGGCCGAGGAGAGGAAGCAAAAGGGCCATGCATCTGGGCTAAAAGAAATATTTCTCAGATGAGTAACTAGGCATCCATTCAACTTATTTTTCTTGAAATGATTGATTCACGCAGGAGTTTGGTTGCATTCAAGCTATTGGGAGCCTATCTAAAAATAAAGCTAGTTCTATAAGCAAACATAACGATGATTCAATAAATATAAATCAATCATAAGTTGAGCTTAAATTTTTTGTTTTTCTTATGAAAATTTGATTGAATGAAAAATTTTTAGATAAAAATTGAACTTCATTTGATTTTGTTTTTAAGATTTGAGGGCCTATAAAACTCAAAAGTTGTTCTATGAAAGAAGAACAAAATTAATTATTGCAAAGCATCAATCATTACTCGTTCGTTTAGGGTGAATAGAAGGAAGGAGAGTAGTGGCCGAGAGTTATAAGGTTAATCTTCCAAAAAACAACATACTACTTTTATTAGCACTTCATGCATGAGCCAACAAACTTTAAGCCTGAGGCAGATACTTCCTATGAATCAAGTATCAGTGCAGGTTAAAAGCATCCATAGTGATTTCTTCAGTGCTGAATCCTGCTGATAATATTGAAGGAATAGCAACATTATTTATAGTAACAAAAGCTTCATCTGCAGAAAGCTCTAAGGCACATCAATATGGAATTATTAGATCCACTCAAATATAATTCAGGATTTTAAGTTTACACATAAAGATTGTAAAGGCCACGATGTTGATTAGTTGGTGTAAGGCAAGGGGGGCTGGACTTCTCATAGTTGGTTGGGAATTGGGATTTATAGGAATGTTAGCCAGAGCTATCCCTGCGATGATTTTTTTTAACATTTGTACTAGCCTAGAAAATGGGGTAGACAAGTTAATACAGATATTTTGTACCGTGCAAAGCTTTTGGATCCACTTTCATGGCTAGTTTCTATTTATAATGATCTAAATATTTCAAAATTGACCAAATTTGGTTTATCTTATCATACTAGGAAGTTCAGGAGATGACATATCTTGCATGTTCAATCAATCTAATGAGATGGGGCTAGTCATTGATGAATAAGCCCGGGTGTAAGTTGTCCGAAAGCTCATTGTCATAATATAAGTTGTTTGAGTGATTAGAGACTTGATTTTAGATGTCCACTACGTAGTATTTGACGAGCTGTTCTTTATCTATGTTGGACTGGTGGTGCTCGACTGTTACTATTTGGCTAGAACTTGGAAATGGTAATCTGCTTGGGAATACTTGGGGTAGTTTGGGATCACTATTAATTTTTTTTTTATTAATTTTTTTTATTATAATGTTGTAAAAATTAATAGAATTGGATATAAAATTATAGTCTTTAAGATTATTGTCGATACTAATATTCATAATGTTGCAAGTGTTTATGCTCCTCAAATAGATTTAGATATGGGTTCTAATAAAATATTTTGGAATGACCTAAAAGAATTAATATAAATAAGGTTTCTTAAAGAAAAAAAATTTATTAGAGGAAATTTAAATCGACATGTTGCTAAGAGTAGTGGAGATTTTAGAAATATTCATGTTGGCTACTGTTTTGGAGTGATCAATGAATACGTTAGAATCATATTAAATTTTATTTTAGCGTATGATTTTATTATTGCTAATATTTATTTAAGCAATTGCTAATATTTATTTAAGCAAAGGGGTGAACATATTATTACTTCTAAGATTGAAACTAGGAAAATACAAATTTATTATTTCTTATAAGAATAAGAGATCATCAAGAATGTCAAGATTGTAAGGTCATTCCAAGTGAAAATTTGAGTACTCGACATCAATTATTAGTTTTAGATTTCAAGATGAAGAGTTGTGAAATAAAGAATACTAGGAATCATTGTCATAGAATTAGATTGGACACCTAAAAGATAAATAAAATTATTTTTATGAGTAAACTTTAAAATTTTAAAATTTGGGATGTTTCAGAAGAAGAAAATTTTGTGGAGTAAAGTAACAAACACAATTAAACAAGGGACAAAAAAATATACTACGAGCATCAAAAGAAAAAATTTATATAAATAAAAATAGCTGATGGTAATAAAATATAAGTTGTAGTATAAAAATTGATTTAAATGTAAAAACATAAAGAGTTGGGAAAATATAAGGTGACCCTTAGGAAGGCATGTAAACGACTTGAGTCAAGCTCCAGCCATGCAGCTCAGCTCTTTTACCAAATTGCGAGCTCCAGCTCGAGTTGAGCTCAAATGAAAAACTCCAGCTCGACTAGTAAAGGTAGCAGCCGGCTCGCGAGCCGGCTTGCGAGCTCAAACTAAAAGTACAACTTTTACAATAGATGACTGGAAAAAGTATTGGTGGTTGAGGAGGGAAGAGGAGGATGCAGTGAAAACTCATTGGAAATTGTATCAAAATTACAAAGGATAGGCTAATCGAGATGACTCAAAAGCTAACAAGTCGAGTCGGGGCAAGCTTGAGCTTGTTTAATAAAAAAGCTCAAGTGCTCGAGCTCGAGCTCGTGGCTCGATAAACTAGGCTCACGAGTTTGTTAACAAGCCAAGCTCGAGCCGGCTTTGCTCATTTACACTAAAGATTTTGCTTTTAGTGATCTTTATAATATATTAGATAATAAACTAGTCAGACAGAGAAAATCAAAATAAAGACTTAACTCAAGTAAAGTGTTTTTCTTAGAGGAAAATATTCAACATATGCAGGTGAACTATTTTAATAAAATTTTAATGAAGTCTCTTAAAATACAATCGATCTTAGTAATCTTAATATTGTTAATAATAATAAAATAATTTATTTTTACCAGTCACATTACTAAAAAAGTAGATGAAATTAAAAAAAAAACAAGGGAGGAAACTCAGTAGGACCAGATAATATCCCAATTGATGTTTGGAAATTTTTAAGAGATTTGGGAGCTTCTTGTCTAACTAAACTCTTTAATATTATTTCAAACACTAAAGGATGCCAGAGTGGAGGAAGAGTATTTTGATCCCCCTTTTAAGAATAAACGAGATGCACAAGAGTGTGCAAATTATAGAGGAATTAAGTTGATGTATTACGCTTTAAAATTATGGTAAAGGGTAATTGAACAAACGTTAGTACATGATACAAAGATTTCTCATAATCAATTTGGATTTATGTCGAGCATGTCTACTATTGATGCTATACATTTTTTGAAAGGTTTGATGGAGAAGTATAGAGAGAATAAGGAGGATCTACATATAATTTATTGATTTAGAAAAAAATTATGATAAGGTTCCAAGAGAAATCCTTCACAAATTTCTAGATAAGAGAGGTGTTAATATGACTTATATTCAAGTCATTAAAGATATGCATACTAGAGCTGTTACTTGTGTTCGAACAGAAGAAGAATTGACCAAGCATTTTCCTATTTTAGCTGGATTACATCAGGGATCAGCTTTAAGCCCATATCTTTTTGCTTAGTTATGGATATCCTTGGTGTATATTTTTCTTTAACGATATCCTTCTCATGGATAAAACTAGAAAAAGTGTTCAAGAAAAACTTGAATTATGGAGGTCTATATTGGAGTTTAAAGGCCTTCATCTGAGTAAAACTAAAACTGAATACATGGAATATAATTTTAGTAGTAGTAACTGTAGTGGCAGAGTTGTAACTATGGGTGATCGAATCA